GCCATTAGCATTATGCCCCCCCCCCCNCTAACAAGCTTTACGCATCATTATTTTTATGACATTATGATTGAGATCATGTTCGATCCCGGCTGAATACGTTTACCGATAATAAATAGCAACGGAAACATAGGGGTAGCGCTAGAAACTTCTGATTAACCGTTCTCCCATTGGCTACTATCTATTTGCTTCATCTCAGCTATCCTGCTGGTACATGAAACACGTTCATGGAGTGAACTTGCATCTTACTCAGTAGATATAACTCTGGTATAAATAGATTGCGGAGGAAGATGGATGCAAGGAGGATGCAACCCCCTTGGTAACCACAAAATGGGTGCGAAGTAGTGAGTACATTGTACGGGATTGGAAGTGATCCTGGCAACAACTGAATATAGCTTAGAAAGTTCATCGAAACCCAAGCCAGAATTCCATTATGGAGACTACGGTGAAACTTACTTATAAAGACAAAGTCAATAGACGAGAGTACGAGTGTCCTGATCGGTTAATGGAGGGCCATGGATGCGGATGAAACCATTGTTTTCTCATGAAGACGCTATCGGTGATAAACCTCCACCTCCACTGTTTCAGTACTCATCCTACTTTAGCAGACTACTTCTCTGTCCAAATTGCATGACTCCGTCTTCTATATTCCACAATCACAAGAGAAATACTTCATCTGAAATCCATCAACGTAACCCGCTGTTTCATCCGATTGAATTCGATTCCAAAGGGGAAGAAGTCATTTCTCTCCACTCATGAATGTCGTCTCAGAGGCGATATAATTCTCAACTTTACTTCGAGTCACTTCAACCTTTTGCGACACGGAGCTCACGAGAAGTATCAATGTGAGAGAAGTGGGGGGGCCGTCTGAGTATTAGTGCGCCATAAAAGGAGCACGGCGGTGCATGCATACCACTACAAAAAGACGGAAAGTGGGATACCGTGACGTTCCGCAATGGGTTAACCTTCATACTCTATCTGAATGTGGTATGTGCACTTCACTGAGGCAAATCTTTGACAGAGGAAATGTGTGGTAACATTTAAGCTCTAGTGCCTCGTCTAGCTCGACGAAATAGTAAGCTTAAATGTGCCGTCCCATTTAGTATAGATTACGCGTCATTGTCACTGGATAATGAGATCTGGTCATGTGGAAGGATTCTTGGATTCAACATTCTGCACGGAGAAAAAACTGGAAAAATTACCAAACAAGTCAAGTAATCGTGGGCAAACTCGATTTCCACTACTTTTCCAATCCTATATTGGGAACGAAGAGCAAGATGAATAGTGATTTTTTTCAACTAGTAATGATTTTTCTTACTGAATAGACGAACATGAAGTTCTTTATTACATTAAGCCGGAAGTGAGCTGTGAAAGTTTCAATAAAGAAGTCAAGACGATAATGGGAAGTTTTACAATATTGTAAGAAAATACAGCAACGTATACCGATGTATATCAATAAGCTTCAATAAGAATAAAGAAAGGAATTAATTGACAGAAGTGCTTTATGCCTCACAAGAAAACAGCAAAGCGAAGGTAGAAGAGAAGTCATAAGGTTCTTACAAAAGACCACTATAAAACACTGGATTTCCATATTGAATTGCGCTGATGGAAAAAACTAAGAATGAAATTCAAACACCGCTTTGTTGGGAGGCGCAGGTAAATACAGAACCGACTTATTGTGAATAGCCTAAGAAAGTCTCTTTGATGTATATACTCAAATGAATGAGAAATATCTGATGAAAGAAACTATTAGGACTGCGGTGGAATACATGAATTACATGAAAAACGACAATGGGAAATAGAATATCACTTATGCGTTCTATATTCATCTAATGGCCTCTGAAATTTGTCCTATCGTCCCACTTCGGGCAGGGGGGAGAGGGGATATCCCGAACTTGGGCTTGCGCTGTAAACTCCCTGCAAGCAGTTTGGAATGGGGTATGAGGAGTGGAGAGAGGCTCGTGCCAAAGCTAAACGTTTCAGCCATTATCACTGATTACAACGGTATCACTGTCTGTTGTGAAGGGAATGATAGTTTTAACCTGTAATGTAAAAATTACATCGCAAAAAACTGTTGAATCAGTCTGGAGCTTTTTATAACTTTTTAGAACCTTCCATGATTAATAATTAACTAATTCAGAAGCGTTAGCTTCTGAATTAGTCGCGAAATTCCTAACGATTTCTAAAGCATTTCAGAGTCTTCTAGAACATGGTGCATCGAAAAATTGTAGAGTTTTCCAGACAATTCGGGAACTTTCCAGAGGATTCTGTATCGTTCTGCACCGTTCTTGAACTTTCTAGAACATTCCATAGAACATTCTATGCTGAGTTTGTAAAAATAAAGAACGACGGAATATTTGGATCCCCTCATGTTTCAAGATTCAAAATATCTTGAACAAGCAGTGATACTGTAGAGATCACGGCATTCGGAAAGGTCATTGTTTTCCATAGTATTGAAATATCCGGACAAATCACCAATTTAATATCACCCAACTTTATAGAACCATATAATAGGTTTAACCCAGGCAAATCCTGTGAGAAGAAAAATGCAATTTCAGTGACTCATCCTGATGACAGAATCGTTATACACTTTTTCATAATGCTGGCGTACTTGACGTATATGTACGTGTGAGCAGGCCTTTGTATAAGTAGAATATTGCAGTAAGCGAAATTTAGATTTTCCACCCCAACGAGGGTTATTGCGTACTAAAAACTGCCAGCCAACTGTGTTCACTCCTGACTCCTTTACATACAGGTCATGGTTTTCATATCAATGATAATTTTTCTCAAGAGTTCCCTATACTATTTTTCCGTACATATAAAAAGTAGTGATGCTGCAAGAGCGCAAGAGGCAAGACAAGAAACAGATTTTTCTCTTGGTAAGAAGGACAAAAACGCACATTTTGAAGAAAAAATTGAAATCGGACCAATAGTTTTCATTGGTCCGAGTGAGTTTCACACACAAAGTTGAATATCTCCGAAACTGCTGGTCGGATTGCGTTCATCGAGAATCTCAAACTTTGTTACCATAAGACCTAAAATCATACTAAGTTTGAAGTTTCTATCTAGATTATTTTTTACGGATAATCGGGCGAGGAGGACATGTAGGAGGTGAGTCGGAGGGGTTTCTATTGTTTTCCTGCAGAAAACCAATCGCTGAACAAGAAAATATTAGGGTGTATCTCCGGTTAAAATTTATTTTTGGAGCTAATCAAATTTATTTGTATCTATTCCACGAATTGAATTGTTTTCAGATTGTTTTTTTTAATAAATGAAAAAATATTAATCCATGCGAAAAAGTGGCAACATCATCGGTAGTTTTTTTTTAACGTCCCGACCCGAAGGGAGGAAGTTATTGTAATGATCCGAAAATCAAAAGTTGAAAATTCAATGAAATTTCCACGTTTCATGACTCCTCGAATCTTTCTACAATGATTTCGAACACATGTCCATCTGTGTGTGTGTGTGTGTATGTGTGTGTGTGAATGTATGTGACGCAAAAAATTTTGAGCTACGATTTCTCTTCAAGGAACAGTGCAATGTGAAATTTTTTTTTTTCAATCGACGCATCTTCATGTAACTTAGAACTAATTAGTTTTTGAAGACGATCGACTCAGCGGTTCTTCCGTTATTTGCAAAAAACGTGAAAAAATGTCAAAAATGATGTTTTTTCTACAAATTTGACTGTTTTCTGAAGAAATGATGCGATTTGAATTGTTTTTCATGCAATCGACGCATCTTTGTGTAGAGTATATCTGAGTAAATTGAAAAAGAAATCGTAATAGCGGTTGTTTAGTTATTTCAAAAATAATACTTCTGATTTTTTTCTACTCGAAATTCTTGAAATGGAAAATGTTAAAAATTCTGAAAATTGAAGGAATTAAGTTGAGAAAACAACACCAAAAGAAATGAAAACAAGAATCTCTATGGATAATTGGGTTGTTGCATCAAATTTTATTATTAAAAAAAACGGATGAAATTTCGTTTTTCAGTACTTTTTTCGCTATTATTAGTAAACAATGCTCCTAGGCGACAATCTTTTTCACTCAAAAAATCATTGATCACATGTTCTAAATGTGTCTCAAGTTTCATGACTTTGGCTGTATTTTTTCCTTGGGTTTTGCAGTTTTTTTTGTGATTTCCATAAGATCACGGGTTAAATGGCCACTTTTTCAAAAGTTCATAATAAATTAACCATGCTCCCCAGCAGTCTGAAACTTTGCACACGTCTTTTCCATCATTTAAAGAATACGTGAAAAAAAGAAAAAAATGGCTGCTTTTTTTCCAACCCTCCCAGCTCGCCCGATTATCCTTAAGTTAGCGCGCAAACGAGCAATTTCAGCGAAAAAATGAAGAAACGAGAATAAGACTACATTGCTCAGGATGTGATGATATTTTTTCAGTCCACTTAAATAGATATCATCATAACGAGTATCTTGAAAAAAAAATCGAATCGGTGGAATGATTCAGGAGATATCGGCAAAAACGATTTTCGAAGAATCGCTATATCTCAGTAACCGGTCAACCGATCGAGCTGAAATTTAGCACCAATTTGAGTCTCAGTAATACCAATTAGCAGCCAAAATTTCAACAAGCTTGTCTCAATAATTCTTTGAGTTACAGTTCGGGCCATATGAACACACATGTGCAGAGACATACCTACACACATACAGAAATTTTTTTAAAAACATAATTTTTTCACGTTTCATGACATTTCTGAGCATTTCCACCCAAAATTAAAAAATCTAAAAAATCAAAAAATAATCAAAAAATTCGTCATAAACGCTCAAGTCATCAATAATATAAGGCCATTTTGTTAAATACCACTTTATCTATCCTTGGATATTGGAAAGAATTATGTATTCCTCGATGATATTAATTGTTTTGTTCGAATAACGCATTCTTTCATTATTGGAGAATATTCCGAAATGGAGAGATCAATTGTTGACAAATTGAAGACTCTCCCTGAAATAAATCTAAATTTTCTTATCATTTTGTTTCAGATTGGTCCCATCAATGCAAGGCAACTTATGCATAGATCTGAGTATAAGACGGATAGTAACTCACTTTACCTGGAAGAATCTCTATTACAATGGGGTGAATTGAGCATCGATCTCCTCCCTTTCCATTACTCACATAACCAATTGAACCTCCACTGCACAGCTCAAATACCTGGTATCTACACGGCTGAGAGTCAGATAAAGGTGACAATTGGACTAAGGGAACCCGTACCTGCACAAAGTAAGTTGCGATAATCATAAGCAATAGTAGATTCCGATCGCATCATTTATCCCCCCAAAATCGTCAAGAGAGGTCGTGAATTATCAGAGCCTTGTTCAGAGACCCATACATCCACAAGCGACGCGACACAACTCACTAAACGATTTGAAGGAAAAGCTCGTTCCCAAAGTTGAAGGATGGTGGGTAGGGAGGATTAAACAAGAAAGAGATATTCCCTACCAATTCCCACTTTTCTGTTAGAAAAGAAAACGCACATCTTGACAGTTCCATCCGAATATATCGAGAAAACGGCTGAGACGATTTCGCTCAGCATGCACTGTTAGAAATTACCAAAAGTGTTACCTTCCGCACTTGAACATTCATACCTCCTCGTTATCAAAAATTTGTGTGCATTTCATTATTGAAGAGGCTCTATTCTCGTATAAACCACTCCGCGCTAATCGTACCCTAGATGAAAGTCCCATGATATGCTCTAACTAGAGAATCTCGACGGGTGACGCGTCACTTATCGACTCCTCTTACGGCTTGAAACTTCCAGTGGGTTGGAAGCACCCACTTAGCTATACGACAGCACTATTCTATTCTATCCCATACCTCCTTATCTTCAACCCCTCTCTGTACCCCAACTTACCCAGATCGCTGATCTCAACCGTTCACGTCAAGATTAGATGGAGAAATCTCATGTGATACCCGAAGGTGTTAACCTCTCCCACTACGAAAAATCGTTATCTGACTGCTGAAATTTCTATCGTGACATTTAATTTAATCCGGAAAATTTTATTGTCACATTTTGAATGAAATTTCGGAAAATCTCGTTGTTGCAAATGCTTCCATGAAGGAATAGGTGAAAGCTGTAAATTTCAGTTTAATCATTCTCTAAAAATCAGTGATGCCGCGAGACGAGACGAGACGAGAAATTGCATCCTCTCGTCTCGTCTCGTTGTCAGGAAACCATTCTTTCATCTCGTCTCGTATTAAAATACGAGAGCAATTTCTTCTCTCGTCTCGTCTCGTCTCCTCTCGCCTTATCTCTATAATCCAATTTGCACGGAAAGAAAATACATAGAGGGGCAGAGGAGGAGGCTCTCTCGACTCTCTTCTCGCCTCTCGTATCTCTCGTTCTCCACCGGCTTTTCTCGTCTCGTCTCGTTTCTGTCATTGTCTCGAACAACTCTTGTCGTCTCGTCTTGCCATGTCTCTCGTCTCGTTTGTCTCGTCTAGTCTCATGTCTCTTGCATCTCGCGGCATCACTCCTAATAATTTAAAATCATCACTGTTAACAGTTTTCCTCTGAATTTTCCAGACCAAATTCCGGAAATTTTTGTCGTGTTCAAGTTCCAATGAAATTTCAGGGAATCTTGTAATTAAAAAATCACATATTCCTTTGATTTTCTGTTCAAATGATCTGGAAATCAATAAAATACTTGATTTTTCAGTTCAATTTATCTGTGAAAATTTAGAATAAATCAGGAACATTCTGAGAGAAATTAAAAACTCATATCATTTTGTTTTTTAATATTCAGGTTCCACTGAAAATTCAATTAAGTTATGAAATTTCCATCTCACTCCCACTGAAAGTTCATGAATTTCCGTGAATTCTACTTATAACTTGAAATTTCATAACCACTTTTTCCCTAAATCCGATTCAATGTTATTCCCATGCGATTTACTATAATATCTTCCATGAAAATCCAAAAAATTTCCAACAGTGTAGAGGTAATGAATCGTTAACAAATCATGGAAATTTGACATTTGATTTTCGGGGCAATTATAATAACTTCCTCTCTTTAGATTGAAAAGTTGATAAGTTCCACCCTTTGGGTCGGAAAGTTGAAAATTAGAGGCTGGTCGCTCTTGCTTCCGATTAGGGTGCGACTGGTAAATTTGGTAGAAGTAGGTGTGACACAACTCATTTCTACGAACGAATAACTTCCCGACCAATTGGTCGAACGAATTCTCCGCCCGGCCAATTCTCTTTTTTTTGGTTTTATGAGAAAAAAAGGGAATTTCAAATGTTTTATCTAAATACCTCAGAAACGAGTGAAACAACTTCGTATTCAAATTCAATTAGACGTAAGTTTTATAAAAATCTATTGGTTGTGGTAGAAATAATTCATACCTATTATTTTTCTAGAAAAAATCGTACAATTTTCACAAAATCGTTATTTTTAAGACTTCACAGAGAAAAAAAAAATCATGAAATTGATCAATTCATCATGGTTAAATTTATCCTTCGAAGAATGATAAACTCAACCATCATATCGAATTGTTTTTATAGAAAAAATTCTAGAAATGATCCGTATTATTCTTATTTTCATCCATTTTTTTCTTGGATCTGAAATTCTTCCGATAAATTCCATGTCTCTTTTTACTAGATTCTAGAAACTACGATTCTAAACTTGCATTTTTTGAAATATTTTTCTTTCTAAGGAGAATTCGCACGAGTTGTGCCAAAAGGTCGTATAAACATTTTTTTTTGGTTTTCCCGAAAATTTGTGTGAAAAGGTCGTATAAACACTTTCCCAGGGGATATGAAATCTCCACGTTTCAGATGATTCTGAGTTATTTGAGCCTAACTTTTTGAGACAATTTTTTTGGTCTGTCTAGAGGAAATTCGAAGATTATCCAAGTTTGGGCCAAAAGATTGTATAATCACTTCCTGAGAGAGTACAAAATCTCCAAATTTCAGATGAGTTTGACTCATTTTTATCTAACTTTTTTTTGGTTTACTCACAGAGAATTGAGAATTTTTTTACGAGACTATAAGGGCGTATTCCCGTTTTTTAGGGGATTAATAAATATTCATGCTTAGATGATACTGAATTTGTTTGAAACCATTTTTTGAGTTAATCTGGAATGAATGATTAACACAAAATTGTATTGTGAGTGATTTCGCCAATAATTGGTCCGGTTTCGTTCTTTGAAAATTTTAATTTTGTAGAGACTTTTCCGACGATTTTTTCTACTATCAAAAGAGCTTTGAAAAACTCTCCATTATCATCGGAAAAGTCAATGGCTTCATAATACAGCAGGCAACTGATAAAATCAGTGTCCATAAAGCTTCGTAAACCTTATTTATGTCTTGTTGAGTACTCTGAAAGAGGACATTAGTCTCATTGACATCATGGAGAATCGATTTTAAGAATAACAAATACAAATGATTTGCAGGATCTTCATACATGAGTGATAACTGCGCAGAAGTGTAACACTTCTCTTTGCCACGAGTGCTAATCATTTTAAAATGAGTTTTCAACTCGAGTCATTGACTTAGCAGACGGTTGACTGCATGTCCCCATGCTAGCCACCGGGTAACACAAAGTTGAATCAGATTAAGCATCATTTTGTTGTTATCATTGATTAAATTGAAAAAAGTTGCACGTCTTTTCGGACTCATGGCAAACTAATTGCAAGACTCTCTCACCAAATACTCGAGAGCACTGGGCAGCACAATAGAAGCCTTTGAGCTACACAAAGGTAGAGAATGACACATACATTTAACTAAAACTAAATTAGGTAATGGTACTCTGTCCCGCAAAAGTGTGAAAAGTGAGTCATTAATGCAACACATGCAATTCGCTCCATCGGTGCCTATGTCTATCAAATTCTGGATTGGTAAATTAATAGTCTCCACGAATGACGTGAGCTGATCGTACAAGACCTCTGCAGCTGCTCCATCGAGTGATATGATCCCCAGAAATGATGTAACAATATTTTTAACCTTTGGACTGAAATACCGAATGCACGCAGCCATATGCTTGTTTACAGAAATATCCGTAGACTCGTCGAGGATAAGCGAATATGATGTATCACCAACGTCCATCACGAGCTCCTTCAGTATGACAGGAAAGATCACTCGGGTAATCAACTGTGAACACTTAGTTCGGTGGATACGAACGTGTTGCAATGTACTTCCACCGCCAAGTGTCATCAAAATTTCTCCCAAATGGTCTATAGACCTCACAGCACTGTGGGTGGCAACGTGCGCTGCTAATTTCAACTTTGCCCTTTTAGTCTCCATGCCAACAACGGTGACTCTAAAAGTTGATATTTTGTTTTGATTTTTGGCTTTTGATGCATTCCTCACGTGTAGGCTAGTCTCAACATGTTTTGTAAGACCACTCCTGTGAGCCCGCAGGCCGGTTTCACAGATTTTACAGTAGGCTTCTTTGGTGATTGCATTTTGATCTGGATTGCGCGTTAACCATCCTGAAATATAAGACGTCAAGTAATGCAGAGTCATTGAGTCATGAAATTATGAACGGTTGCTGAACTCTGTCCTTCAATAATTTCCCAATAATAAACTCTGGGATAATTACCTTTAAATTGAGATTCTTTTTCCCAACTTTTATTGTACTTCTTCTCATATTGTCCCCATTTACCCATTGTGGAAAATGAACGTTCCCAGCGCCGTTTTTCTGTCCGTTCGACGTTTCTTTACTTTTTTTAGCTAAACAAATTTCCCGAGAAAAAAATGGACAACGCCAACGCTTAATAAAAGGTTTGAACTAGGAACACTAAATGTCAGAATTTTTAAGCGTCGAGAAACACGCTAAATTGAAAAAAAAAAGGGCAGTGTCTATTCACACGCTCCACGGTAACTTTGACCGTGGATATACGGGACGTTTTCCCGTGGATTTAAGCTAATTTCTATCGTAGATATATGGGAGATCGTGGACCCTCAACTTTTACTTCTCGAATTAAATCTAGACAATAAACTAGACACATCGAATCAATTGATAAGTGATATGCAGATAGTAGACTAGTAAATAATTTTCTCAAAATATTAATTCGTTAATACGAATATCAGTCTAGATTAACGCAAATAAAAAATGAAATAAATAGTTGAGAAATAGTTGACTAAACGCAAATAAAAGATGAAATAAATGGTTTTTTACATTTTATGTGAACGTTTTCTCAACAATATTCATATTTGTCTAATGGGGTCCGAGTGCAGGAGTGGGTGCCGAAATATAGTGCAGATGATTCTAAGGATGATTTTCCAACCAGGGGAGACTCCTAGACCCCACTGGACAATGTTGTCACACCTCTGGTTTTCAACTCTGAAACCAGACTTCAAAACCAGAGTTCATAGCAAAGATGTCAGACAAGATGTGAGTGAGAATCTACCGTGGATCCACCGTAAAATTTACCGTGGATCCACTGTAAAATTTACCGTGGAGCGTGCGAATGGATACTACCAAATAAACGAAAATGGGTGGCGCCGTGCTCATTGAATGAGTGATCGACACTTGAAGAAAAATGACGCGTTGCGGTATTTTTCTGATATGATGACCAATCTGGGGTTAATATTGAATTGAAGACGTTAAGATTCTACATGGAATCAATTTGACGAATTTTTTACCTTTTTTTTGTTGACATTTAGTGAATCACATTACCCGAGCATAATTGAGCATTTTATAAATACCTTGGGGTTTTTCCCTTTTGTTACAGTTACGTCAGACAGCAGCAAGACCATCTACAGTACGTGTATCCTGGTGCTAGTCTCAATTCGTGCAATTTATCCTTTTTTAAGATAAGCATGGAATATCTACGATTACTCGGAAGTATTAGGGCATGAGAAAGAATGAAACTGAGTCATAAATCAAAACCTGAAATACGGAAAAGACTAGGGATGAGACGACAATTTCTGTATAGAAATGCAATGCTGTGAGTCCCGATTGCTGTAAATTATGTGATTTTATCGTTGTCAGATAATCATGTGGAAGATTAAGCAAACGTTTAAGATATATGAATAAAAATGATGAATTGTCCGAATACTTTCTAATCAGCATCGATTCATGTCCTTTTTTTTATAGATTTGATGATTGAATCAAAGCCTAATGCCAGGTATAAGAATTTTACAGAAAAAAATGAGATATTTTGTAATCTTCCTCTGTTACGGTAAAATTGCATTCCTCATTCTTTCAAATTCATTAATGCTCTATTGTGGAATGAAGGATGTTTTCATTATGGTAATTGTTAAAACGGAATGTCAGAAGTAATCCGTTCGGAATTCGAGCGGTGAGATGCCGCACAGAGAAAAAAAGTTTTTATTTTCAGGGACATGTTAGTAATTTTCCGGGATCCATTCCGGACTATTGAGGATATATCACTAATCTTCATAAATCAGTCCTCAATGATTAGGAATTCAACGATTACGAAATCCCGGAATTCTGTGATTGTGTCACCAATTTTTCACTGGCACTAATTTTTGTCACTGATTTTCCAGGATTCATCTTTAATTTTTCGGACTCCATCATCAAATTTCAGTGATAAAAATCAATCATTCTCAAGGTTATCCTACTCAGTGCACCACTAGAAAATTCCGCCTGAAAATTTAAAAATTCGAGTTACGAATCTTTAAATTTTCTACGAATGAATATTCAAAGTTATTTTTATCGTGAAAAGACACCGTTTGGTATGAATGATCTGCCACTTGAGCCAAATATTCAGTTTTTGTTGACAGCAGAGCAATTATTCATATTTAAAACTTTTAAATTCGGATCAAACAATTTTTTTTTTTTGTAATTTTCAACTAATGATTTTGTTGTCCCAAACTAGATATTTTTGAGAACTTGTTCGTTTTTCTCTCAGTGAACTTAAACCATGTGTTATGATTCCCTCCCTCCCTTCCTTAAATCGAATTCGAGTCCGTCCACTTAACAATTACTACCAAAATGTCGACGAAATTCCAACAGTGCACTATTAAAAATTTTGGTCTAAAATTTCCGGTACACTGAAATTTTCCGGTACATTGAAATCGATGTAGGGGGAAGAAAATCATGAAATTTCAAATTTCACTGAAGATTCAATGTAATTTGGTACTGAATATTTATTTTAGATTGAAAATTCAAATAACTTAAGGAATTCTCGTCTTTATGCTGTTTAAAATTCCGGAATTGTACTGAATTTCCTATGAAACCTGAAATTTCATGATTTTTTCCCCTAAATCGCATTGAGTGTCACTGTTCTGAAAATTAGTAGTCAACCGTTCATGAAGTTTAATTTTGTTTCCAACAGTGTATGTCTAGTATCACCAATAATTGGTGATAGATTTCTGGAAATCAGTGACATGTTCATGAAAATCAAAACTTTTTTCTCTCTGCGATAATCAGAAGCTGTTCCTTGCCGGACATAGACGGAATTCATCTGCTTGTTCCATTGAGAGCTAAATTTTGAAAAAGTACAAGTTCTTGTGTTGAACAGTGACGGGAAGTGGATACTAGCATCCTCCCATGTTGAGTTTAAGTTGGACAAGGGAAAATTGTATATGTCTGGACCGATAGAATTGCTCACTTGCTTGCCAAACATTCTCATCAGAATGGGATTAGTCATTCAATTGTACAAACTGAAGGATTTAATTGGTGCCAACCAAGGATTACATAAGCATAGTGAAGGGGGGAGAAGACTTCAGGTATTCTGACTAACGTTGGACTCGGGGAGAGAAAAGAACAAAAATAAAATCTTAAACATTGATATTATATAGGGGAAGCGGTTCCTGTACAGCTCATGTAAGGAATAACAATAGTTTTCGCATCCCAAACCATGATTTCAGATAAAAATTATAGTCGCATAGCATTCTTGGCTATTCAGATAAATATTTAGAAGTCTGGGATTCTCAATTCTTGTTTCATTTCCGAGAAATTATCAAAAAATTAACTGAAGATGAACCCGAACGGAGAATAAAAAGCGGCCTTTTCCTCTCTCCGTAATAGTTTGAATTTCTCTCCGACATGTCTCTTTTTGTTTGAAATTTCAAGAGTAATTTTCTAACAATGTGAAGACCTTTAGACCTCTAAGTTCGTTGCAGATTGCCGGAAGAGATGAAATTACCGAGAAATTTGCTTATGTAATACTTGAGTTGCTTCGTTTTATTAGAATTCCAATTACAATAATCAATATAGCATAATTGAATGGAGAAGTTTCGTAAGCAGTCAAAAACTGTTGAGTTCCATTAAATATAAACTAAATTTTGTTTACCTGAGTCTGTAACGATGAATGGAAGATTAATAATTCCACTGAAAAACCAAACGGCTTATCGACTCAGAGGAAAAAAGTTTGTTTTCAGCAAAAATAATCAAAATGCTCGGACAATAACCGAGTTAGAGGGCTGAAATTTTACACGGGGTCATATTTAATGAGGTACTAAAATAATAAAAATTCATAAAAAATCGAAAACATGGCGCCAAATGACTGCACGGTCTTCTATGGCCTTGCTCCTTTAACTTTACAGAGTCCTTCGTAAATTGAGTTACTAGTTTCTCATGCTCTGTACAATTCCATCTGGAACCCTGAGTTTCTTAAAACTAGTAACTTGGTTCTGAGAACAAGAAACTTTTTTTTTCTGTGCGCAAATACCTGAAACGAGAATTCAACCCACGTATCGTCAATTTTTCCAGTGAATCAGAAAATTTGATAATGGTTCAGCATGTGTTTGGTTAATTTGTCAAAGACGTAAATGTAAAAACGGAACTTTTTCCTTCAAATTGGAACCGCTCAACGCCCGCTCCCCTCCATGTTTCCCTTAGACTATTTGCACGAATTTGCGTTGTTGAAGACTACGGGGCGGTACCAGATATCGAAGGGGCATAAAGAGAGGTCTTTTCCTCCCCCCGTGATAACTTGAATTTCTCTTCGACCTGTCTCTTTTGTTATTTCGATGAGCAACGCATTTGTATATTCGGAAAGTTTAAGAAGATAAGAGTAAAAAACGAGAAAATTACTTTTGTTATTTTCAATATTCATTGTTGTGTATGAAAGAATAAACTTATCAATGGAAATCAATTATTAGTAATTAATTCATATACCTCCATTGCCCGCATTCATGACATTACCCTCATTAATGCCTGAGAATTATTTCAAAGTAAATCAACTTCGTGGCAGTTCACGAAAGACCTTGAAGGTAGACCTGAAAGGGGATGAACGAGAGTATACATCGACGCGGAAACAAGAATATATGGGTAACGTATCCACAAGAGCTCCGCAGCTCATTCAAAATAAACTTTGTTCCCGGCAATACTCAGCGTTTACCTACCTCTTCCATTCCGTTCCAAACCACACACTCAACCAATCGCATTGGCTATCTCCGAATGGACTAATGTTGTCAGTGCTTCATCTCAGTGTTCTCTGTGAATATTATACATACTTGTGGATTCTATCATAGGGGCAGCACACCGAGTGAGGTTTATGCACACATACACTAGAGTAACTATCAAACGTTGGGCAACTCGCGGTCTCTATTTAACTGGATGTACATGGAACATACCCAACATGTACAATAGACGTTTTGTTCCTGACATACCCGGTAATACATACAGATCCGGAACCTCTAGATTGGACAAGTGTTAAATTACATTCCCTAGTAGAAATCGAACCTCGCATATTTCTCGCCGCGGGTTTACCGTGCGAGATTACCCAGCGCACCGATGCGGCGTTTCAGCGGCGCAGCGGACGCGCGGCGCACAGCTCGTGCTCCACGTAGGGAAGGGAGCGCACTAGACTCCGCAGAGTAGCGTGATGCAAGACTGATGCACGGTTTGCATGACCCGCAGTCCTCATAACCTCCAGTGATAACGATAACTTTACAATAATGCAAATGAATTAACAATAAATAATTATCATAGAAATAATTGTCATGTGAAATAAATAATTGTCATAGAAATTGATTTTTCAAGAAAAAAATGTTTACTCTTTCTCCTAACCCCATTAACAATCCACTAATTAATGAATTATTCAATTATACTGGCAATGAGTGGCTCAAAAAAGAAACTGAGCCTACTTATTACCAAGATGAAAGTAAAAGTAATTCAATGAAGTAAAAGTAATTCGTTCATATGAATTTTTTGCTTTAGTTATTACATCACATTATCACTGAAATAAAATCCTTTCTCTCCTAGTCGATAAGAACAATTAGGGATTAAATGATGAGGGAGCAAATGGAATTATCCAAAAACAAGTGTCGATAACAATTGAGAAAATTCACAAGTTATATTTTTATCCAATTTTTCATTGTGTTGTACAACATTTTTTCCATAAACTCTATTAATATAGGAATTAACATAGGAAAATTAATTCCTATATTAATAGAGTTTATCATAGGGGAATTAACATAGGAAAATTAATTCCTATATTAATAGAGTTTATCAAAAAGATATTTCCCAGGAGTCTGTATAACACAAAACCATGTATGCCACGAAACTTGTCAATAAAAACACTTAACCTCACTACCATAGATACTTCGGTTACAGTGTAACGTGTGGAGTAACCCTGCGGCACCTTGCCGCCATGCATACGAGCGAGCCTAATGCCGTATTCTCCTGCGCACTCGCAGCGTAAATCTCGCCGCAACTCGCAATCTCGCAGCGTCAGTCAGAATTTCTACTAGGGTTATATTTCGAGATTTCCTCTGGAATATGCACAGAATTTATTGCGATGTACCAGTTGGATAACGTCGTTTGGATCAATCGCTAAATCAGGCGAAAGGTCGGGGATTTTGAAAAAAGAAATTATGACGGTAATCAAATTTTCATAAGTTGCACGTTTCCACTGATAGAAGATTGGTCTTATATTAAGATCGAAATGTCACACAGAGAGAAATTTTTGGTAAAAATTACTCTTCCAGTAAAATAAACGTGTATTATTAAAAATTTTCGTCTGTTAGCAAATGTTTTTTATTAGCTCGCAATTTTCTTCAAAACTACTTCAATGAGGAAAAAATAAAAATTTGGAATATGTATACATGAGGGGCTAATTGATCAGATCTCCTTGGCGGTGAGGGCTCGCCATCTTATCATTGTTTTCGTGTGTGCGCGAGTGGAACGCACGCTTTTCAGAGTTTCCAGTTTGTTTTGTTATAATTATCTATTTTTCTCCGTTTGTACACAGTTTTTCCATAGTCATGGATGATTGCAAGAAGAGGAAACACATAAATTGTGTGGAATATCTAGAAATCTATAGTGAAATTGCAAATATTACGTGCATGGGCTTATCGACTTTTCCTTGGATAAATAATCGATTGGAAATCAAGGTAAGCGATGTTTCATGTCTCTCAGCCTTTTTAGACGTTCGGGTCAGATCCTAGAGACAGAACCAATCGACGTCGAAGACTTTTTTCGGCCGAGTTTATTCCTTGTGGAACAACTTAGCCTAACCTCATTTTACCTGTTTCTCCTAGTCCTAGAGACAAAATCGAGAACAAGGAAATTAAAAATGAGATGGTTACAAATATGTCAGATGTATCTTCCATTCCTGACATCCAGGACAGTGCAAGCAACAGATCAGATCCTGTTGTGCTGGACACATCTGCGCCTGACGCACTCACCCAAGGCTCCAAGTCTTGTTCTACTCTTTCAATAGTTGGATCTGCGCTTGACGCATTGATCCAAGGCTCCAAGCCTTCTACTACTATTATGATAGGTACATCTGCGCCTGACGCACTCACCCAAGGCTCCAAGTCTTGTTCTACTCTTTCAATAGTTGGATCTGCGCTTGACGCATTGATCCAAGGCTCCCAGCCTTGTTCTACTATTTCAATAGTTGCATCTGGGCTTGACGCATTAATCCAAGGCTCCAAGCCTTCTACTACTATTATGATAGGTACATCTGCGCCTGACGCATTACAGTAAGGCTCTAAGCCTTCAGTTACAAATGCAATTGTTGCATCTGCGCCTGACGTATCATTCAAGGCCTCAAACCTCCAAAATAATATTCCATTTGAACTCGATTCAGAAATATAGGAGTTCCTGGGCCATCGAAGCCTCATGATGCCGAGATCTCTTTTCAGAGTGATCTGGAA